AAAACAAGGAAGAAGTCCTCCATCTAGTCACGTCGGTTGCTCTACGTTGGTGCTTGTGCATCCAATACAAAGTAAAGCATTTCGAACTATACATCAGTTAATTTTCAAAAAATGCATACTTTAGTGAAGTTACATTTTATTGTAATTTTTGTTTAATTATGTACACTTTATAAGAAGAACGGATGTCAGTTTTTAATAAATATTTTTATTAAAAATATGACATGTACGATGTTCTTGTGTTGCTGCTCTCCTTGGGTTCGATATCACGTTTTTCGACCTTGCAAAGGAGGTTTCACTAAGAAAAGTTGTAAAAAATGTAAAAGTGAGTATGTCCTTGGAATACTTATAATGTATGGCAACTTGGGTTAAATCGCCGAAAATTTTTATGTAAAGGTCATTGAACGAGTATTTCCAAAAAAAACATGAGTTTTGCCATTTGTTACTCTTTGAGCGGCTACTGTATATTCAGAAGAGCGAATTTTTCAACGGAAATGTTATCTGTTATCTTGTGGAAAATTTAATGTAGTTTGCGAAATACAGGTCAGATTTCTATTTTAATGACGATAAAGTTGAGAAATTACAATTTTGTGTAAAAAAAAACAATTAATTGTGGACTAAATCACAAAAATTTTAATTAGGTTTGTTCTCAAATATGACGCGTCTAATAGGCCAAAAAAGCAAGAATTATAATATTTGGCGAACTGAATTCAACGAGAATTCAAATATTTGATAATTTTATGTTGTGTTTAAGGCTTTTATGAAGGTTTGTAGTTTCAGATTTATTGAATGCGGTGTTATTGTGAGTACGAGTGTGACTTTTTATGTTTGTGCAGGTCGATGTTTTATTTTCTTCCATATTTTGCTAGTTTTTATTTTCTTTTTTAATGTTTCGTATTTGGGTTTTATAATACTTTCTAGAGCAGTAACTCGCAGATCTCAAGATGAAACGTCACTGTTTAATGATAATGTTTCAGATTTTTTATTGAGCTCCATTTCCTCGTTCCTCATTAAGTTGGTTTTAATTAATTTCTTCAGCGTCACTGCAAATAAATAAGGGCGCCTATGTTGATTAAACTTTTCCGATGGGAACGAGTGTAACTGATAAAATTGTGTCGTTACGAAACATTTTTTGCCAGCTTTATCATTATAATTCAGACTGCAAACAGCTAGTGGTGTGGTAGAAATAAAATCCCAGGGTCTAATCTTAAGTCGATGAACTTAGTAGACGGAGGATAGCAAATCGTGCTTAATAAATATGAGAAAGGTAGACATGAAAACAAAAAAGAATAAAATTGTTTTACCCCGGTTTATTTTAATAATCATTCATTACCATAAATGTTCAATTAAATAGAAAAACGCAAACTCGTAAAAATATACTGCCACAGGTTAAACTTAAAAATTAAGTGCCATTAGCATAAATCAAATATTTCCGAAAACTAAAAGTTGTTTAAAAAAATTATATCTCGCGTTACTCACTTTTATGAGTTATAACGTATGCTAGTTATTGAAACATAAATCTTGATTTTGATAATTGAAACGTTTCAACATATAAATTTAGTCAATTTTTTTGTTTTAAATTATGGCTGTGACATAAAACTGAAGCAAAAAAAACTGATGAATAATGAAATGTCTTCCATTGATTTCTTGTCTTGATGCGTCATCGAAGAAAATCACGAGAGAACCAAATTGCTCTGCATTAAGCATTTCTAATACGTCGACAGATCACGAAATTTATTAAGCACGAAGCCAAGTTATGAAGAGAAGTCATTCGAGAATAAAAAGGGAGGGTCTCATTTCCCAGCTGGAAGAAAAGAATTTCGCGTTAAATAATCTGAATATATTTGGGTCACTACATAAAAGAGACTCAAATAAAGCGAAAACCGGAGAGCGATGATACAACACCAAGTAGTAAATAACTAAGCACCCCCGGCAGAAACTCTGAAACATCTCAAACGTTTCATATTCAAAGTAAATGAGTTATTTTTTCGTTTATAACAAAACAAGTAGGTTAAAATATAAAATAATTTCATGAATATAGCGGCATAGAGAGAATGAGCTCAAACCGCAGAGTTGGAATCATCGCCGTAATTAGTTATGAAACAATCAGGGGCACTAAAATAGGCGGGCAGGTGGTTAACATAGAGCAGAAAAAGTAGTGGGCTCAATATGCTCCCTTGAGGCACTTCCATATTATCATTGTTTATCAGAGCCGACCGCGTGGATCAATTGTCACTTTTAATATCATCCATGGATATATGAGCTAAACCATTTCAGTACATGAGTACAGCATGTAGTTTTACACCACACACTTCCAACTTACAGATGAGCATATCATGCTTCATGACGAACACGGTCAAAGGCTTTGCATAAATACAGGAATGTCCCAATAGCATATTCTCCCTCATCCAAAGCAAAGTGCTCATAGTTTATCTAGTCAAAAAATGTGGCATCTGTTGACTTACCTTTCAAAAAGCTGGGATTGGAAAGTAATCCACATTTATTTAAAAAGGCGGTAAGAGATCATACATAATATGTTCGAACACTTTTGAGAATACGATAAGAAGGGATATTATCTTCGTGTCATCTTTAAAATAAATAAAAAAGTTTTATGATTATATCTATGTTATATAGTTTAATATATAAAATAATTTCGTGAAAAGCGAGCTGTTTTTTCTTTTGTTTTTCATGTCCACGAAACAGAAAAAATCAACATTTGAAAAGGTTTATTGTAAATTTTCATAGTTTCCGATGAACACATATACATCGAGAACAAGGAGACCAAAATTTATCAGAGGCAATCAAACTTCGTCACACCCCGTAGAATCCCGAAAAATCTCACAATTTAACATAAATATTATTAAATAACATTAATAATATTGAAAATATAATAGATAATTGTTTCCTTTTTATATAAAATATATCCAAATAGTATAAATCTCTCTTAAACGCCAGCAGAAGTGATAATATGTATATTTATGAGTGGTATCGATCACTATTCAGTCCTAATTTTGTTAGTAAAGTAAATATTTTTTATTTTATTTATATGATTACATTTCTAAAAGGGTCTCGTGCCAATATACAGATATGCATTTATTTATTATCAATTTAAAATTAATATTCTATGCGCAAATGGATACTACTTTTATTAGCATACTATGTTACAGGGTTTTTTCTCAATCACAGAAACGTATCAATCAGGGAAGGAAAAAATGAGATTATTAATCATTCCTTTAATAAACTGCTCAAAAATGAATAGGGATATTTATAGTTTATTCATTTTTATTAATTTTAATTAAATTAACCGATATATTTTCGTTAGTTAGATAAAATAAAACAGAAAATACAAACAAACGTTAACCCTCAGTTTTAATAACTGATTTACTTAAGAATAGTAAACTTGAAGATTACTCATTTTGTAAACCAACACCTTTTTTCGTCTTTTCTCCATTTCAATCTAGTTGCATTATCTTTAACCATAGAAAGACATCAATGACCCAGTTCGTGCTCCCTTCAGTGCAGTTTGGAGGAGGTGGTGTAATGGCCTGGGCTGGGATTTACACTGGACTCCATATTGTTGAAAACAACCTCACCGCAGTCCATTATGTCCAAGAAATTATCGAGGAATAGATCCCCCAAACCAGGGATATCGTTGGCAGGGATTCTCATTTTCTGGGTGACAATAGCAAACAGAGGAAGACTTGTTCATCAATGTTTAGAAAACCTGGGAATTTCCCATCTTCCCCTTCTCATATTGTCGCCAGACCTCAACCCCATTGAGCCCATGTGGGATGCGTTGCAGAGAAGGCTTTTCGATGGTGATCTCCAACCGCAGCCAGTTGACCTGGAACAACTGAGTGCAGCTATGGAGTGAAATTGCTTATAAAATTAGTGACAACCTTATTAACAGTATGCCTAAAAGGTGCATTGTACACGATATTAATTGTTTAAAAAATTATTGTGTCCAATAAACAAACTGATGTAATTAAAACCTTTTATTTTTCAAAACCCCTTAATTAAATTTTCCTTCAGTAACTATAATAATTTCTAATAAATTTTAATGCAATTTATAATAAAAGTAAAATAAAAATGCTAGGGAAAGTAAATACTACAAAATTGTCAATATCCCTCTTCATTTTTGGGTTGTTTATTAAGGATATCACTCTTAGGATATGACACAAGAAAAAACATCGTTTACTTGCTTGACTGAAATAATATCAAAGACTTTTCGGTTCATCTTAACATGTAGAATTTATAAATTAGGTTTTCTCCTAAGGTTAGGCGGAGAGGGCAATGCAGGAAAAGATGAATGAGATTCTCCGGCTCATACATGTTGCATACTGTGCATAGTCGTTCTCCATATTGTACATATTTTATTCCTTAACAAAATATTTTATTTAGTTTCTATTTGACAATCTAAGTTGAGGAAGGACTCTCTAATTAGGATTATTGATAAATACATCTGCAAGGCATTGAAGAACATATTTTTCTAAAAAGATCACTAAAACGTAGAAGCGTGAATTACAGTGTCCTCTGAGAGCAGTTAATTCTCCCCTCTTGACAAAATTTTAGCTATTTTTTGCGGATTTGATATCCAGCAGTTTATCAAGATTATTTATATTTTATTTAAAGGACCTCAATGATCCTTCGTATTAAGCTGCCGATAGAAGGTGTTTTTTAAACAACGCATCTCCAACATTCCTGCATCTCGGCAATTTTTGCTTTAGTAAATAATAATTATCGATTGATTTATACAAGGAAAAAGAATATGAAAAGGTGTCATTTACAACAAATTACCGGTAGACCTGAGAATCACCCACCTCGGCTGTTGTCAGACCAGAGTCAAAAGTAACAATCCACCGGTCAACTCCGCATGGCCTGTACCTATTTACGTTAAGCGAAAAACAAATTTCATCGGCAATATTTGTGTTTTAGTTGTTATAAAAGTTACAAATAAATAGTATCTCCTGTATATTAATTGATTTATTCCTTCTTTTTTTCAGAACCGGAAATTGAAAATATGAGCTTGTGGAAGGTCATCGCGAATAAAATGTCCCATCTCACCTCGGCGAGCAAAGCAGTTAACACAACTGAAAAAGCCAGGTAACTATAATTCTTCTCCTCAAATTGTAGAGTCATTGATGAAATATACCACACATCAATGAAATAGTGAAATACAATACTATATACGTTTTTGGTCAATATTTCATTATTGTATTAATTTATTTAACAGCTTGTAATCAGTGTAACCACTACTTAATTTACAGGGTTACCTACGTACGTGGGATCATTGGTCTAATTAAACTTTTTTGGGTCATACCAGGTCGAAAAATATATTGTTAATAATATGTTTTAACTAATCAAATCAATTTAGAGGCAAAATATATTCGACATACATTTTGAATAAAATCGAAATCTTACACATCTAATTAAAATTGATACATATATCTAATATGTATTTTTAAAAAAAGCAATACAATAAATTTACATTTATAAATTTTTTTGCATGATTCATATGAGTTCTAGATCCAGAAGCAACTTATGGCACTTTCTTTTAGAATCCTGCTTCTTTTTAAATTCAATTAGTTTGCACATTTTGTTGTAAATTTTTGCCATTGGTTATAGAATGGCGAGTGGTGCTTGGGTAGAGCATGTTTGTCCTTGTATCTGGTTCTGTAGTCGTGACATGGGATAAAAGTTTTAAACTTGTCTCGGTGGTCAAATACAGTATTTATCCTGTATATGATATAGTATTCAGGAACTATAAGTTTACTGAACTGTTTAAACGTAAATGAACAGCTTTCTCTATACCCCAGTCCAAGAATCACTCTAAAAGTTCTCTTTTGAAGCAGGAAAACCTTATAAAGCAGGCACACCTCACTGTATTCAATGCCATATCTAATATATGACATAAGAAGAGCATATTACTATTAACAGTTGACTCTGGTGTACAACTGGTTTCAATCTCTTGAATTCAAAGTTATATAACAGTCAAAAGGAAAGCTGTAGTGAAGTCCAATACCCAAAAAACTTCATGCTATCCACGATGTCCAATTTGGTTCCCAAGGTACAGGTTCTTGTCCTGCTGAATATCTCACTTTATGACTTAGAATGATTTACGCCCAGCTTGGTATTAGTAAACGATGGGCCTGCTCTATCACATATTGCAACAGTTCGACGTAAAGCAGCGTAAACAGAATGAGTTGAAGACACAAAGTTGGTAATGGGTGAAAATAGTTATGAAGCCATCAAGGGCAATAAAGTAGGCGGATAGGCCGTTAGCTTAGCATAGAGCAGGCATAGTAGTGGGCCTAACATGCCCCCTTCAGGCACTCCCATATTATCATTCTTTATCGGAGGGACCGCATCGGGCAGCATGGATCCATTGCCATCTTTAATATCCACTGTACATTGTATTCCTTGAGATTTGCGTGTATGATCTCCACCATACACCTCCAACTTACTGATGAGTATATCATGACGAACCTGGTCAAAAGCTTTGGAAAAATCCAGGAATATCCCAATTGAATAATCTTTCTCACCCAAAGCAGAGTGTACACAGTTTGTCAAGTTAAGAAGTGTGGTGTCGGTTGATTTACCTTTCAGAAGCCACGTTGAGACTAGTAAAGTGATTCACTTTTATTTAAAAATCAACTACTGGCCCAGCGATTATGCCATGCATAATTTAACTTGAGAGGTTTGTAGTTCATCCAGTCCCGTCGCCGGGTATTGAGTTTTCCAGTCGCTATTTGACTTCATTAGCGATAAAGAGGAAAACATAGAACGATTCTGACACTTTCCGAAGATGGGCCTCCTGTCCGCAGGGGTATTATTATTAGCTGTTGATGAGGAAAGGACAACGAAGAGTTCACCAAATTGCCTGGCTATGATCAGACTATGATCAGCAATATATAATCATTCTTCCTTCTTAGCCTCCCGACCCCTGTAAGTAGGTAGTGTGTTACAATTTTTTCCCTCATTATTTTCTAAGCACATCACTGGATATGCACCTAGCCTCATGTGGAGGCGGGCAATTTTGTACATCAGCAAAACTATATTGCAATGTTATGCAAATAAAAGTTACCCAGAAAAAAATTTAGTTGATTTGAATTTGGTCGCACCCTCTCGAAAACAAATATCATTATTATTATTATTATAGCGCATGCTATTGTAAATAACATTGTGCCCAGGCGTGACTGCAGAATTATGAATATTTGGATTGTAAACAGCCGAGTGAAAATATCCGTTAACGCTTGCCCTGTGAGAAATGTGGGCCCTTCCCCTATTTAACTTTTACTCGATGTTAATTAAACGCAAATAGAAATTTAGAACAATCAGAAATTTCCAGAGGGTCGAACGTTTGTTTACATCGGTCCTGTGAAGCAAAATACCTTAGGTAGGAGTATTTTTAATTTCTGTGTGGAAAAGAAAAAAAAAGAAGGTTTAATGTTAACTGTTATAATACATACGATAACACTTTTCCTGCACGATATTTATAATATCGCGCCCTGTTTTCAAATATGTTGAATCGTGTCAACTCTTCTGGAATTTTTGCAATGGTCATGTGTGAAGGTTCATTTTAGTTTCGCGTCAGTACGACAGGCCCAGGAAATGAGAATGTCACAGAATTACAACGCAGATTTACCGTGAAAGTGGCTCGTTAAAAATAAAATTTTTAAAAAGTATGTTGAAAATATATGTGAGGATTTAGCCACGGAATCGTGCACGATGCGACCACCGGTTTCCGATTTTTATGGCCGATAACTCATTGAAAAGACGTGGTTATAGGCAGGGAAAATGTGTTCTGATCGGCCTAAATTTTCCATTCGAGTTTGTCGAAAAAGGGTTTTGTAATTAGTCATTGTCGTGCCGGGAGGCCATACCGCTTTCTCAACCCTGTAAACCACGTACCAGCCCTCCCGCTCATAACTTCCTTTTTTATAAAAACCGACCCCCCTTGTTACAAAGACAAATGTCGAAGAAAAGTCTTTTCCCTTCGAGTATATTGATTGCAGTTAATTCTTTTTCTTTTATGACCCGGGAAACCGTTTATAGTCGAGCCTTCCGTTTTATGTATCCGGCAATTTCGTGCAGTCCTCTCTTCCCTCTTTTAAGACCTTCACCCTTCCTTCGACTAATTTCAATAGAATATTCTTCTTAGGAATGTCGCTTTTCAAATAAAAATTAAATAAAGCGTTTAAAATAAAGTAAAACATTTTAAATTCAGATTAACCATATAAATACGGTGTATAAAAAAAGAGAGGATTTTAATTTTTTTTAAACATTATATTTCTTTATTATAAAATTAAACCAATATCCACAATGTTGTTCATTTGGCTCACTCGGCTCAACCCCACGCACTTATCATTGGAAAATATCTATCGAAAAATTGTTGCACCACCTCAACTTGTGCCCAGGTTAAGATGGCTTGCTTTCGAAAAAAAAAACGAACAAAATTGGCTCGTGAAACGAAATGATAATGTGAATAAGCAAGGACTGAACTATATTACGGTAGGTGTAGCAAGAGTTTGTTCCCAATAAAATTTACTATAGTTTTTTATGGTAGGATGTATGTGGCCCTTGGATGAAAATAAGCAAAAATGTGAAGGAACGAGGTCGCGACATATGGTGGATGTGGCAGAAGTTCGATTATTTTAGTGTTTCCATGATCTGACACAAAGTGGGTGGTCCATGGATAGAAATAAGTAAGAATGTGAAGGAGCAGGTTCTATGACAATATGGTGGTGTGGTAGTAGTTGAATCTTAAGAATATCTTATGATTCTCCATGGTCCAACAGTGTGTCCTCCGAATTGGAATAAATAATAATGTGAATGTGGAAGGTCTATACTATATGGTGGGTGTGGCAGGAGTTCGATTTCAAAAAGAAGTTCCTTTTCCATTGTTTGCCGAGAGTGCAGAGCCTTGAATCAAAGTAAGTAAATATGTGAAAGAGTCGGTCTAGCATATAAGATGGGTGCAAGGTAGTTCGATTCCATCAATATCTTCTAGTTAAAAGGCTGTACGGATTTCAGCATAACAGGATTGTACCCTATTACTCTTAATCACCTTCATCTATTGTGCCTGACCTCTAATAATTGTTTTCTTAGAATATTTCCTTTTATTTAATAAACCACAGTATTCTTCTCAGGTTTATAGTATTGATGAGCATGCATATCCTAGGTCTTCCTTGCAGGGAGCATAGTATTGCTCTGTTGTCTGTGCCTCCTCTAGATATAGTCATCGTTAGTCAGTCATCTGTCCATTGTCTTTTTGCTTGCCTTATCCCTCGTATACATTTTCCGTATTTGTTGTCCTCTTCACTGAAGCCTTCCAGCAACTAGAAAAGCCGTTTGACCTATAACCATTTCCGCGGGTACCTAGATTTCGGTGTAAAACCAACTTTCACCACGCGTGAGACTCGTGTTGTAAAGTCTCTAATTACTTGGAATTTAAATTAAGAGATTTTTGCCAGTTCTTACCAATTAAGTTCATTGCTATTTTTCGCCTCCTCAACGACGACTTTACTACAAATTTTAACTTGTGGCACAGCACGCCCGCTGAAAATGTATTAATTCCAATTTGTCGCCGAGAATCGAATCCTGATTACATGACATTTGATAAATGGCAAAAAGGAGGGAAAATTTGAAAGGTAGGTTGAGATGGGAAGTTGGTGCAGAGTGGATCGAAATCACGATAGCTCAAGAGGTATAGCAGCGGGGTATTTAGCCGAAGGTCGTGGGTTCGAATCCCGCTCGTGACACTCGCTTTTTCATTTCAACCAATACCTTGCATAATGATTAATTAATTGAAAGAAGTTATTTGGTCAATCGGACCACGAAATTAATTCCAATATTTATAAACACGGCTGAGATAGTAGAGTATTGATTGGTGAACTTAAAATAGAATTACCATCTTTACCTTTCAAGGAATAGTTCATTTAATATGACTGTCGTGTTGTGTATCAACTCTATCAAATGTTTGTTTTTAGAAAGACTTTGAGTGATGTCTCGGGCGTAATCCCCCTCCCCAGCGATTCTGTCCTACCAATCATCCCAATCTCTTTTATCACCATTTTCTCCAGGATCTTTAGTTGAATAACATC